GGGGAGACTGAGGCTCGGGGCCTCCGTGTGCGACGATCTCTCGACTCCACTCCAGGCCGCCGCCTACCGAACTGCAGCCTGAGGGTGGGGGCGGGGCGTGAGGGCTGACGTGCCGGAATAAGCGGGAAACTGAGGCCTGGAGCCCTGGCCCGAGCGGGAAAGGGAGGCCAGGAATTCATTCCTCCGGAACCAACCGGGAAGCGGGCTGGAGGATGCCGGGGACCTGGAGGAGGAAACCGAAACTCAGAACCTCAGCTTTCGGGTCTGTCTGGTGGCCCCATTTGAGACCACTTATAGGTTTGCAGCCGGAAACTGGGGGCTCCACAGTGGTTCAGCCCGCTGGAATGAGTGAGAAAACAGGCCCATCCGTTTTGGTGGACTCATAAATCTTGGGTGTTGGGATCATGGGAGAAACTGCGGTCCTGGGGAAAGAATCGGCCTGCAGTAGCGAAGCAGGCCAGAGCAGAGTCTGTAATGCCCTGGCCAGGCTCCAGGCTCTAAAGGTTTTTGTTTTTCTGAGACAGGATCTCACTCTGTAGTTCAGGATGGCCTTGAACTCGCCCATGCTGGCCTCGAATTGCAGCGATACTCCTGCCTCGGCCTCTTGAGTGCTGAAATTACAGGCATGTGCCACCACGCCAGCAGGCTCTAGGCTCTAAAGCGTTAATTTAGCCCCACTCCCTAAACTATTGCCCAAATTGCCCTGCCAACCAATTATATTTCACTCTTACCCAATCGGAGGCAGCAGCCTGGTTCAAGCTCAGCCAATCAATATTAAATGGCCGATTCCTCCGGATTCGGATTCAGCCAATGGGCAGCTGTTCACGTTGGCCAATCGTCAGGCGTCCCGGTGGCTCTCACCCACCCAATCAGGCTCACGGGTTTTTCTCAACCAACCTATCAGCTCCCAATGAAGACCTGTCCCGTGGGTCCAGCGCGCGCACGGAAAGAGGGCGGGGTTCGGAGGATCCCAAGCCGCATTGCGGCTCTGGCCTTTGTCCCCCGCTGCTGTCACCAGCCTCTGTCCTGGGACCTTTGCCCCGAGGCCCGGACTCCCCCCTTAACCGGCTGGTCTGAAAGCCTGGAGTGGGGACGTTTCCTCAAACGCGAGTGGGATTTTGTCCAGACTTCAGTGTAAAGGGGGGGCAGCATGTTAGGGATGCGGAGGCCCCGTTTTTTTTTTTTGTTTTTTTTTTTAATTTTTGGTCCGGTACTGCGTTTAAACCAGGGCTTTCCTTGTTTTTGAAGATAAGAGTCTCGCTGAATTGTCCAGGCTGCGCTCTACCTTGTAATCCCCCGGCCTCATCTCCGAATGCCGGGTTCCAGTCCTATGGACTACGCTGCCCCGTTAAACTGGCCCCGGGGCGTTTCCTCCTCTTCCTCCTTAACTTTCTCTTCTGTCTCTTGCTTTGTAAAACCCTCAGCCAGACTTCCAGCTTCTCCCACCCAGGCCCTAGCCTCCCAGCCCACACTCGGCCCCCATCCTATCCAGCTGCCACCTCGCTCCGGAGGAATCTTCCTAAAACTCTGCCATCTCCACCTCCCTCCCCTGCTCGGACTCCCCATTGGCACTGACATAAAACTTGAACGCACCCCTGTGTCTAACTGACTTTATGGCACTTCTGTATAGTATTGTGCTGTGAGCTTTATTAGATCGCTTTATTAGATGAAGAAACTGGCTGAGCCCAACATGGAGGCAAATGTTTGTAATCCCTGGACCAAGGAGGATCATGAGTTTAAGCCCAGCCTGGGCAATTTAGCAACTTAGCGAAACACAGTCTCAAAATTCCGTGGGGGGGGGGCCCGCTAGGGATGTAGCTCAGTGGGAAAACTATGTTTAGTTCCCAGTCCTTCAAAAAAAAAAAAAAAAAAGCAAGTGTCTCCAAATTGAGTCTTGAAATCCCAGGAAGATTTCTTTGGAGAAATAGGCAAGCTTAGCTTATTCTCACATCTACATGACACATAAGGCCTTCATACTACACTCTGTGTGTGTGTGTGTGAAATCTGTCCTGTCCCCTGATCCCACAGGCGCCACCTCCCCTCTGAGCTCGGAGCCTTTGGAGGCCGGGATTTCCCCAGGATCCCAGACCTGCCCCAGCCCAGTGCCCGCCCAGTGTTGGCAGGGAAAAGGAGGGGACAGGCTGACAGCAAGAGGAAATTCCCCTGGAACCTGTTTCTCGGCTTCCTGGCCCGGCTGGGACACAGGCTGGAAAGAGAGGCCAGGCCAGAGACCCTGGCCGCCATGGCTTCAGCCCTGAGCCCTCCCCGGGTCCCCAAGCCCAAGGCTACCCAGCCTTCACACTACCACGAGAGCTTTCTGGAGAAAAAGGGGCCCCTCGATAAGGTAAGGTGGGCGGGGGCCTGGCACTGCTAGGCGGCCTGGGGCAGGTGTGCTGCCTCTCTGGGCCTCCGTTTCCCCACTGGCCTGGGTAGCGGATGGGCAGGGGACATGCTGGGGGCTCGGAAGAGCTCTGGCCTTCTGTCTCTGTCTCTCACCCTGTGATCTCTTCCTTCATTCCCTGTCTGTCTCTGTGTCTTTCTGCTTATCTCTGTGCTCTCTTTCCATCTCTTGGATACGAAGAAGACTGGGCACTTCCTTAAGGAAACTGGGAGCCCTCTGACTCCCTTGCCCGCTTCTCCTCCCAGTCTAAAACTAACCTTGTGAGGGCCGGGGATTTAGTTCTGTGGTTCCGCCGCCTACCTCACAAGTGCAAGGTCCTGAGTTCGATCCCCGGTACCGAGAAATAAATAAATAATAAAATTAACCTTGTGAACTTGAATTGCAGAATCAGGCTCAGGACTGGAGTCAGGTGGGGACAGTGATTGTTATTGGGGGCTACATTTTGCCGGGCCAGCTATTGACTATATGACCACGGTATGGTTACATGCGCGTGTGATTAAGGATTCAGAGCTGGGATGGCCCACACCTGTAATCCCTTCTACTCCTGAGGCTGAGGCAGGAGCATTTCAAGTTTGAGCCTCGCCTGGGCAATTAGGTGACTAAGCAAGACCCTGTCTCAAAATAAAAAAATAAAAAGGGCTGGAGATAGAGCTCAGTGTGAAGGCCCTGGATTGGTCCCCAGAATCACAAGAAAGGTGGGAGGGACTCCATCCTAGCTGGAATATCCCTGCTTTACCTTAAACTGGTGTCACAATCGGGCACCTTCCTGGAGTTGAGGCCGGGTATAGAGCTGCGCATACCACTCTAATTGTTTTGTGTGTTTCTAGTTTGTTAGGAAACAACGCGCGGAAAACTGACCACGCAGCAATCCTGTTAGGCATGACTGAGGCTGGCTGCTATCGTGGCCAGCCCAGTCCTCATGGCTCTCTCCGCAGTGCCCGGGGGAGGGCCTGGGATGTGGTTATCCCTCGGCAAGTGGGCCAGTGGGCGGGTGACAAGGGCTGGCTGGGTGGCTGGGTGGGTGGAACGGTCAGATGGCTGGATTGATGGATGGATAGACGGACACATGGGTGGGTGAGCGGACGGATGGACAGCTGGGTGCCCGGATGGAGGTGTACCTGGATGAAAGAGCAGATGGGTGGGTGAATGGATGGACAGACGGATGAGTGGGTGAGGCCGGACTGAGGGACACCACTACAAAGCCAATTACTTCAACTTACTCCTGGAGCCTCCACCTCCTTAAATTGTGGGGCTGCTCTAAGTCTCTTATCATATCAAGATTCCTTTCCTTTCTTCCTTCCTGTCTCTCTCTCTCTCTTTCCTCCCTTCCTTTTTTTTTTTTTTTTTTTTTTTTT